CCTATTGCTGTATAACACATCACCCCAAAATTCACTGGTTTAATAATGAACATTTATTATCTAATGGTGTCTGTACATCAGGAATCTAGGCATGGCTTAGCTAAGTGACTGGCTCAAGGTCTCTCATGAGGCTGCAGTCAGGGTGTCAGCTGGGGCTGCAGTCTCATCCCCAGACCCAACTCAGGAGGATCTGCTTTAAGGTTATTCACATGGTTGTTGGCAGGATTGAGTTCCTCATACATTGTTGGACTGCGGTCCTCAGTTCCTCACTAACCATAGCCAGAGTCCTCCTTTAGTTCCATGCCATGCAGGCCTCTCCATAAGGCAGTTCAGAACATGCCACCTGGCTTTCCTCAGAGTGAGCAAGTGGGAGAGCATCATGACAAAAGCCACAATAATTCTGTATTCTAATTTCAGAAGTGACATTTCATTATTTATGCCATTTTTTTATTCACTAGAAGTGAATTAATAAGTCCAGCCCATACTCAAGGGAAGGGGATTATACAAAGATATGAATACCAGAAGATGGGAATTATTGAGGTCCACCTAAAAGTAGGCTCCATGCCAAGCATGGAGCCCCATGTGGGGCTCGAACTCACGACCCTGAGATCAAGACCCTAGCTGAGATCAAGAGTTGGATGCCCAACCAACTGAACCACCCAGGTGCCCCTGTTGAGGTCCACCTAAGAAGCTGCCTACCTTAGCCAGGTTATTCTCTTGTGCAGAAACCTTTTCTGGCTTCAGGAAAAGAGGAGTTGTGTATTTGAGTCTTTCACAATAATTATTCTACTCTTAGCATTTAAGTGGTTTTTTTTTAAAGATTTTATTTATTTATTTATTTGACATAGAGAGAGAACAAGTAGGCAGAGAGGCAGGCAGAGGGAAAGGGAGAAGCAGGCTCCCCGCTGAGCAGGGAGCCCAATGTGGGACTCGATCCCAGGACCCTGGGATCATGACCTGAGCTGAAGGCAGCCGCTTAACCAGCTGAGCCACCCAGGCGCCCCTTAGCATTTAAGTTTTATCTATGATAGCATAATCAGGGTCAATTAATATTGAATTCTAGAATGTTCTGCATCCTGACTCCACTAAGGTTTTAGTGAGGAGAGCAAGTACAGTCTTTTATCAGGATAAATACAGAACCTAAGTATAAGATACAAGTATAGTAATTGTGTCCTCAGTTATTTGAATAAGTGGTATATAGAATTTACTTAAAGCATAGTTTTCAGTTAAATGCTATATGAAAGCCTCAACATACAAATATACAATGTGCCGTGTATGGAGAGGACTCAAAAATGGTAAGTAGACTTGCTCATACATTTTTATGATCAGTTAATTTAGTGCTTTGGGAGTTCTTGTGCCTATGTGGAATAAAATCATTACTAGTTAGATTTGATAACTTAAAGTTCTAATTAGGGGCGCCTGGGTGGCTCAGTCATTAAGCGTCTGCCTTCAGCTCAGGTCATGATCCCAGGGTCCTGGGATCAAGCCCCACATCGGGCTCCCAGCTCAGCGCGAGGCCTGCTTCTCTGTCTCCCACTCCCCCTGCTTGTGTTCCTGCTCTCGCTATCTCTCTCTCTCTCTGTCAAATAAATAAATAAAATCTTTTTTTAAAAAGTTCTAATTGGGGCACCTGACTGGCTCAGTTGGTTAAGCATCTGCCTTCGGCTCAGGTCATGATCTCGGGGTCCTGGGATCGGGCCCTATGTCGGGCTCCCTGCTCAGCTCAGCGGGGAGTCTGCTTCTCCCTCTCTCTCTGCCTGCATCTCCCCCTGCTTGTATTCTCTCTCTCTCTGTGTCAAATATATAAATAAAACCTTTAAAAAAAAAAAAGTTCTAATTAAAAGAATACACAGGCGGCACCTGGGTGGCTCAGTTGGTTGAGTGTCCAACTTTGGCTCAGGTCATGATCCCAGGGTCCTGGGATCAAGGCCCACCTCGGGCTCCTGGCTCAGTGGGGAGTCTGCTGCTCCCTCTCTCTGCACTGCCCCGCTCATGCTCGCTCTCAGATAAATAAATAAAATCTTTTTTTTTTAAAGATTTTATTTATTTATTTGACAGAGAGAGACACAGTGAGAGAGGGAACACAGCAGAGGGAGTGTGAGAGGGAGAAGCAGGCTTCCCGTGGAGCAGGATCATGACCTGAGCCGAAGGCGGATGCTTAACAACTGAGCCACCCAGGTGCCCCTAAATAAAATCTTAAAACACACACACACACACACACACACACACACACACAAAGCACAAGTAATAATATATTGATGTTCATAGGAATCTTCTGTTATTAGAGATTCTTGATGTTATCAGAAATCTCTTGTTGAAAAGCTTAAGAAAACACTTGATGGACTCTTTAGAGGTTTATTTTGAATTAGAAAAATAAAAGTTATATTAAAAACAATTTTTGGTTGCCTGGCTGACTCAGTCAGTGGGGCAAGCAACTCTTGATCTCTGGGTTGTGAGTTCAAGCCCCAGGTTGAGTGCAGAGATTATTTAAAAATAAAATCTTAAAAAACAAAACAAAACCCATACAGTTTTATCAACTTAGTGATTTGGGAGGCTAGGCGAGAAGTTAGTTCCATATATCACTATTTATATCAAAATAAATTCCAGATAAATTAAAGATTTAAACATTAAAAAGGTAAACAAAAAATTACATGAAGAAAGCACATGTGAATGTTTGTATATGCTTAAGAGGTAAAGATCTTTCTAAACATGACATCCAACCAGAAACCATAATAGAAGAATTTGACTTTATTAAAATTAAATATTTCTGTATGGTAAAAAAAAAAAAATAGACAAAAAGCATCACCATAAAGTTAGAATACAATATAGGGGAAAAAATATTTACCACACAGTATAACAGGAAGTGTTCTAATTCTTCCGATTGAAAAGGAGTTTTTACAGAAATAGACCCATAAATATAGAGAACAAACTGGTAGTTGCCAGAGGGGAGGTGCGTGAGGAGATGGGCAAAATGGGTGAAGGGGAGTGGGAGGGTACAGGCTTCCAGTTATGGAATGAATAAGTCATGGAGATGAAAGTTACAGCATAGGAAATATAGTCATTAATGTTGTAATAGTGCTGTATGATGACAGATGGTAGCTACACTTGTGAGCATAGCATAACATATAGAGTTGTTGAGTCACTATATTGTATACCTGAAACTAATATAACATTGTGTATCAACTATACTTCCATTTTTAAAAAAGAGCATTTTAAAAATCTTAAGGGCACCTGGGTGGCTCAGTCAATTAAGCGTCTGCCTTCAGCTCAAGTCATGATCCCAGAGTCCTGGGATCAATTGCCTGAGGTGGGCTCCCTGTTCAGTGGGGAGTCTGCTTCGCCCGCTCCCTCTGCCCTTCCTCCCTGCTCGTGCTCTCTCTCTCTCAAATAAATAAATAAAAATCTTTAATAAAAAAAATCTTAAAAAAAGAGAGGGGTGGGGTGCCTGGCTGGCTCAGTTAGTGGAGCATGCAACTCTTGGTCTCTGGGTTATGAGTTTGAGCCCCATGTTGGGTGTAGAGATTACTTAAAAATAAAATCTTTTGAAAAGTCATTTTACTAAAAAAACTTCTATAGTTCAGTAAGGAAAAATGATATAGACAGGCAATTAAAAGAAAAGTGTAGGGGTGCCTGGGTGGCTCAGTTGGTTGAGTGTCTGACTCTTGGTTTCTGCTCAGGTATTGATTTCATGGGTTGTGAAATTGAGCCCACCCCTCTCAGGTTCCCTGCTCAGCAGGGGGTCTGCTTAAAGATTCTCTCCCTCTGCCCCTCCTCCCACTTCCTCGCTCTCTCTTTCAAATAAATAAATCTTTAAAAAAAGGAAAGTATATATAGTTAATATATAATTAAAAAGGCAAAACATAGGGGCGCCCAGGTGGCTCAGTCAGTTAAGCATCTGACTCTCGGTTTTGGCTCAGGTCATGATCTTATGGGTTGTGAGATCAAGTCCCACATTGGGCTCCACGCTTAGTGCGGAGGTGGCCTGAGATTCTATCCCCCACCCTCCCTCTCTGCTCCTTCCCCTGCTTGCATGTGCTCTTCCTCTCTCTAAAATAATCAATAAAATCTTTTTAAAAATAAAATAAAAAAGTAAAAAGGCAAAACATAGATAAAAAAGTTACTACATGGGGTGCCTGGGTGGCTCAGTCGTTAAGCGTCTGCCTTCAGCTCAGGTCATGATCCCAGGGTC